CTTTGCTATACTGTTGACGGTGGGACGCCTTTGCTTGCTGATGCTTGTTCAGCTAATGCCGTTGCGGCGATCCTGGAGGATTATGGCTCCACGTGTTAGCGCACCGCGCTTCGGGGGTACCCCAACGCGTCTGTTGCATTCCTTCTACTTGTATGTTTACCCTGTGTACTCCGTACGGCTGGCGCAATGGCGAAGCGAAGATTTGGTTAGGAGCTCGCACCCAGACGTTTGCGGCGCATCTTCTGCGGGCACTGCGAGCAATTCATCTGAAGAAAGAACCATTTCTCTGTAATTCGATGGCTTCTGTCCACAAGTATCCGTACTTACCGTAAGAACGATACCCGCACCATTCAGTGATTAAAGCACACAGTCACCGTGGTTCCTTAAGTCTCGGGACCTTATGATTTAACCACCATGGCCCCGTCGGGATACATGGAGTGAAGCGTCGTCCGCCGAAGGATTCAATGAAGTATCATCCATCAAAGAAGCCGTTCAACCACTATCGCTATTCCAGGAAACCGAAGAACAAGATGACCGGGTTGGGGGGGCTGTGAGGAACGCCGCGCCGGCGCCAGCATGCAGGCTAGTCTTCTTAGCGTAGACCCCGGCAAGCCTTGTTTTCTTCCTCCAAAGGTGAGCCCGTCCCGTCGTGCCTAACACACAGCCTCACCTCGCCTGTTTAGGCTACTCGTTATTCTACTATGAATCCCCGAACACGCTTGTCTGATGTCGAGGCTGGGGAAAGGAGGAGACATAGCTGTCGCTCAAATCGACGGTCATCATGGCGACCGGGGGTTTGATATAAGACCCGACGCTTCTTCCAGACTTTATTCCAAGCCAGCGAGAATCTGAATAGCATCTACAGCGTCCCGGATTATCATCCTACTTACTTGTTCGTAAAACTATTTGTTACCGGTTGTCGAGATGCGATCATCGTTCACCTGGGCACTAGCCCTCGCAGGAGCTGCTTCCGCAAAGCCTACGCAGACAACATCGCAGGCAACACATACCGGACACCATGCGACTTCAACACCCGCAAACGCATGTGCCGTTGCACAAGCAGCCGCAGAGTCGTTCCTCTCATCCAGACCCAGCGCAACAGCAGCTGCGATAAAGCCTTCAATCGCGTACGAGTGTCTTAAGTCAATCCCTGTTGATAAGCAGAATGACCTGGATCTTCTCAACTACATCGAGCCATACATCAACTTCCAAAGCACCTTGGAGCCCCTGGCGAATCCTCCGCAAGGCTATCTCGTTCCCGGTGTGGATGTTATTGGGGGACTCGGCCAGATCCGAGCCCGTGTGATGAAAGACAAGTACAAGAGCCAGATCGAGTTTGCGCTCGATATCAAGCGGCTGGTAGGTCTTGATCGTCATGAAATCCGCAGTCTTGGCTGCCTTTTCAACAAGCTCTGACATTCACTAGTTTACCCAAGCTTCTGATGGCCACTTCAACTACAACCCGGCCCTTCTCAACCTCTTCACGTTCCGCAGTCTGAACAACCTTGTTTCCGTTTCTGATGACGGTCTCAGCGTCCCGAGAGTGTATCTCATCAGTGACTTCCTCAAGTCTTATGTCAATGACACTGATGTCTACGATATCAAGAGCATCGATGATGTCCCAATCACCGAGTGGCTTGAGGCACAGTCTGCCCGAGTCCTCACCCAGGATCCTGACGCCAAATACAACTCCCTCTTCAATACCAACCCTGCCACGGAGTTCCAAGGTGTGGGCAACGAATTTGTTTTACGCTTCCCTGGGCATTGCCCGGACAAGCAGGTGATTAAGTTCACCAACGGCACCGAGTACGTTGATCAGCTCGTAGCCATTGTCGGTGAATCGCTGGTCGAGTATCTCAGCAGTGCCGAGGCCATTCACTCCAAGGTGGAGCTGCCCCCAACCAGCACCAGCTCTGTTGCGTCTTCCTCGTCTGCTATGTCCTCATCCACCTCCAGCGCAACACCTACCACGACCCAGATCCCGGGATACCCGTTGCCAGTGTCCAAGCACGCCAGTGACTGGATCTCTACGTACTTCCTCAACGGTTCCTATGGGGACACCGCCGTCCTAGCCGTGTCTTCTTTCGCTCCGTCCGATATCGACACTGCAAACAGTACCTTTGAAATCGCTGAGGCTAGACGTGTTGTTGATGTCTTCCTAAAGAAGGCTAAGGAGGCAGGCAAGAAGAAGCTCGTCATCGACCTCCAGGCCAACGGCGGTGGATTCATTGCCGCTGGTTTCCAGCTCTACAACCAGCTTTTCCCTAAGACCACAGATATCTGGGATGGAAACCGTATTCGTGCTCATGAGGCCTTTGACGCTATTGGACTGACCGCCCAAGAAGCTTCTCCCGATACTCTGGCAGACTTGGTTTCGAACGTACTCAACGATAAGCTTGAGCCCTTCAATACTTGGGAAGACCTCTACGGCCCGGAAGTGATTGCCGGACAGAATGTCACAAATCTATTGCGCTACAACCAGACTCGCATTGGCTACCCCAAGAGCACCGGGGACCAGGTCTTCCTGCCAGAAAACATTGTTGTCATCACCGACGGCATCTGCGCCTCTACTTGCACCATCTTCACGGGTCTCTTGGTTAGGGAACAGGGCGTCCGCACGATTGCCTTGGGAGGTCGCCCATCGGAGGCTCCGATGCAAGCCATCGGCGGTGTCGAGGGTTCAGAAGTCCTCGACTGGCCGTCTTTGCAGGCTGCTATCATGCAGGTTGCCAGCGACGCCATTGCTGCTAACGAGACCGACATTCTCGAGGCAGCATTTGATGTCCTCCCTGACCTGGGCGACCCTCCTCTGCTTCCCACTCTCGCCAAGTCAGGTGGTAGTTTTAACTACCGTAACGCTTACGCTCGTAAACGTCCGGATGGGTTCCCAGAGCAGTTCATTTATGAGGCTGCCAACTGTCGTCTGTTCTACACTTCGGATATGCTTACCAACATTACCGAGATCTGGACCCGCTCCGCCGACTCTGCATGGAACAAGGCCAAGTGCGTCGCCGGATCGACTGTCAGCAATGACGGTATCATCAGCAACGACATTTTGCCTTACAGTGACAAGGTAATTGGCATGAACTTGGAGTACAAGGGACCTGGTAGCCTGTCGTACAAGGGCCCCTACGAGCCTCCTTCTCCTTACGTCCAGAAACACACCAACAGCAAGCGTTCCATTGTCGAGCAGCTCAACGTTCCCGAGAACTTTGTCTATGAACCCACCAAGCACAAGATTGGTGATCTGAAGGAGTATCTTGCTCAGAACATGCCGGAAGACTTCAAATACGAGCAGAAGGATAAGATTGCGATCAGCCACACTCACCTTGACCGGGCTTAATTGAGTCGAGGGTTTGGAGGGAAATGATTATGAATGAATGCTGCAGGAGGATGGTCGTCAATCCGCTGCTTTTGTACATATTTAGCCACTCGTTGATACCCAATGGATTGAACGTCCCGTTGAGATCAGAGTCCCCTGATCAATGTACCAGAGACTTTAACCCGTGAAATCATTGCAAATCCTGCGAGACGAATCTATGAACCGCGTGTCCGAAGATACTCCGGATTCGAAGTGCCATAAAATTTTGCCCAGGCGCTGAACCCAAATCAACGCAAACATTCTCACAGAATTATCGCCGTTCCTGCATTTGGCTTGTTTGAGGGTAGTCAAAGCTCTAGAGTCCAACGTTGCCGAAAATGTCTACCGAGTCGCAGTGCTGAATGAAGAGCTTTCAACAGCCCAACATGGCATGAGTTCAGCGAAAAGCAGCCTAAGTCACATATCTACACATGCTCTGCCCAAGTATGCCGCTAAGGACTAATAGTCAAAACTTACAATGGCATAGTCCATATTCGTATCATGTGCGACATGTAGAAACGCTGCTCGGGCAGCGAGCCAGTTCCACGGCTCGGGGTCGAATTGTCGACAGCTTCAATTGTGATACAACTAAGTAAGCTCTTAGTCGGATCAAGTTCCCTCTCAAATCTTTGTCGTTATCTTTCTGAGTTACGCACCTTACCGGCGTGAGCGACCTAGGGATGGATCCACTTTCGACGAAGCCATTGCTCTCGGTCTTCGACTAACTATCTGATGTGAATTGAGGTACGCGTATCTCGACAAAGTTTTACTCTGTAAAACTACAAGATCGTAATGAAACCCATAAAAATCTTGGCCTGTTACGCGGCTTTCTCTTGCTGCTCATTCCTAACTTTGCGTTCTTAAAGTTCCATCATATATAACTCATTGCACCGTGGGGTCTCATTGCAGGTATGGTGTCCATCTTACCACTGATGTCCAGGTCAAGGACTGGCATGATCTCTACAATTCCCATGGAGCTCTACGTATCTCGGCAAAGTCCAAATCGGGCTGTGACTTCTGTGTTAAGGAATCCCCGCCGGGCTCAAGAACGCGACTCATGCTAACCTCTCGTAACCTGACACGACGAGGCCTTTTTCGAGCGAACATAATGGCTCGGGCTGTGGAACTGCAATTAAGCTTTTCGAGCCTCGGCACACACAACCGACTAAGAAAGTGACATCCTTACTTGAGAGAGATCCCGGCCATACAGTGAGTACACTTTCTCTGCTTGACATCGAACTGGCTTCACGTGTTTCGTCTCATTGAGCAAGTTTGACGATTTTGCTCCAATGCCAGTTCACAACATTTGACCTTATTTGGCAGCAGTACGTGTTGAGCATCCAATCCTGAGAACGTAAAAAAAAGCTTAATGTGAATACAGCCTGAACTTCTGCCCATGTCCTTGGGACGTTACGTTGACAGAGACTCCCACCAACCAAAACAGCCACGTGTAAGTGCGGAACAACGAAACTTTGTATCAACATGCGCAGTTGAACCGAGTTTATTTGGCCCAAGTAAAGCTCACTATTTATGTCTCTATTTTGCGAAAATGTCGCTGCTTCATCACGCCTGGGCTTGATGCCAGGAACTCTTGTCACACAACACTATGCTGACATGACTCTTTGCCACTAAGTTAGGTCTAGTTACCCAGAGCCTCATCCCTTTTCCGAGCGAGTATCATGTGAACCTGCCATTTGAGTTCCAACGGCCCGTTTCTAATCTCCTCTGTAATCTCTTGCCATTTGGGCGACTTCCATGAAGCTTCAGTAAAACCAAAATGCATAGACTCGAGCGATTGCTTCAGCCACTCGACCGAGGCTGAGATCCTCCAGTCCTCGCTATCATCTATGGCAACACGCTCAGATACACCCAGATGACCCACCGGATCTGCTGTCCCATCGAGAGGCTGGTAGTCTTTGGCATACCATTCATCCCCACAGTTGATCTCAATGCGCTTGACATCCTTCCAAACTTCGTCTCTAAGCGGCACACAGTCCATGCCGTGAAACATTTGGCGAGCAGCTCGCTTCCAATTCTCGGTCATCCACTCTTGCTTCAAGAGGTGGGCGGCATGCTCGCCAATGAAAGCTTTGAATGCTGTGTTTGCACTCGTGTTGTTGGTGATTCCCGGAAAAGGGCCGTAAATGACGGCCGCAAAGGTTCCGTTTCCCCGCAGACTCTTTGCGACATTGTCAAGCGTGGGTTCCAGGATAGTCCAGTGCAGTGACTCGCAAGCCATTACGAAGTCAACGCGGTCTCCATCCACCAGGGCTTCCCAGGGGTCTTCCCCGCGACAGTTCCGGTATGAGAAATCGGTCCCAGTGAACCGGTCCCTGAAGCGTGCGCGGCAGTCTTCGATGTTCTTGGCTTGCGGTTCAGTCAGGACGACATGCTTGGGAGCCGAGGGTACGTGCATCAATAGGCCTTCGGCGGCATTGCCGCTGCCGGAGCCGATATCGTGAATTGTATCCAGAGGGCCTTCATGGTAGTTTGTCCAGAGTTTCCACATAGACCTTGGATAGGGAGGCCGGTGATCGACGTAGTGTTTTGCTTCCTTGGCGATGGCCATATTGGGTCGATGGCCGGCATCTAGCTGAGGGGCAGTGAGGGGGGGACTCATTTTCGACAGGGTTCAAACGGGCGCTGTTCTGTTTCTCTGTTGATGGGTCTCCTTATAATGGCCACCCGAGAATGATACGATATGAAGGCCAAATGGTCGATCCGCGTACAATTCTGGGCCCACCGCTGTTTCTTATCCTTGACAATGGTGGTTGGCCTTGTAGTCCTGATTTTCGGACTTGAACGTGGTACCGAGAGAATCCCATCGGACTGGCTGGGCAGAAAGGGAGCAATTCTTGGGTTTGCATGGTCTGTGGTTCTTTCCGTAACCGACGGGTTGCGACGGTACTTCGTAGAGCTAAACACTTTCTGGTCCGAGTCGGATGGGGATGATGGGGTGCAGGCCACTGACTCAATCCACGGTTGCATTGCTTAAACTTTGACATTTCTGATAATTAGGTGGTAGTAGATAGGCGCGTCTATCGAGTCTTTCAAAGCTTCTTGGCTCTTAAACGAACAGCCACGCACTACTTGAAATAAGTTTTGACAACACTGGAATTAGCGGAAGTTAGTCTCTGATCATGTTTTCAACCCCTGCCTTACCAACGGCACTGCCTGCAAGATTGACAGATGGTTCATAGAGAAACACTGATTTATAGCGGAAGCGTGATTAGGTTCCTTTGGCCTGGAAGCTCTTGGAAGCTGGCTGAAGAGGCTGTAGCCTCCGCCTCAAAACAAGGCTCATCTACTTGTAGACATGTACCTCAGCTTGCAAGGTGTGAGCGGAAACTCGCGAAGTAAGTGGACTCGGGGCACGCGGATCAAGATGCCCCGGGCACGATTTCACACCATCTTTGATGGAGCTTCATGTACCAGCTGCAAGAGGGGTCAAGCCCATCATTCTGGTTTGATTACCCTTGCCATCTCTCCCAAGACGGGGCGAGTCATCCACAAAGCCTAAGCCCGTCTGATGTGATGAACACATCCCACCCAGAGCGAATGGTGCAACATTGCCTGTGGGTTACGCGGCGAGGGGAAAGGAAAGTCAAACAAAGTAGTCGCATTAACAACTCTGATTGGCTGACTCCTCAGAATAAGCAAGCATCCCATGCTGTTTTCTATCCTGTTTGTCATGTTGTGAGACTTTGATAGAGCTGGTTCCTTGACGAAACAGTCTTATTCTTTAGGATCTGCTGTCAAGCTAGAGAATCTTGGGAAGTCTGAATCTTTTAACTTGGGATGCGCTGGGTCACAGTCATTTCTAACAGAGCTTCAGACCAGGGAGCTGTAACATTCTTGACTGGCGTATTCCACGAGCTACCTATTGGGGAAACCTTGCTCATTTAGCCAAAACCCTATGTGAGTGTTTGGATTCGTCCGTTGGTGATATCGCAACACTACTTACTTAGACCAAGCTTATCTTGCATTCAGCTCGCCATTCTCTCTACAACAAGTGCCGACGCTTTTCTCAACTTGGAACACTGCCGTCCGGTGTTCTTTCTAGAATACTTCGAAGCTTGAGTGCACATTTCTCACGCGAAACCTAAGTAACTCAAGCTATCAACATGCGTCGAATCACACGTCGAAGAGGAGCTTGTCAGGCTTGCAGGTCCAGGAAAGTCCGCTGTGAGTATCCAGACTGGTCAGCATGTTGAACTCGTCATGACAGTTTTCAGGCGACGGGGCCGACCCGTGCCTCAATTGTGAGGTAAGAGTAGATTCCCCAGAATGTCCAACTCAGGCCTACGCTAATGATTATTAGCGAAACGGGCAGGCTTGTTACTATCCGCCATTAGCTCCTCGACCAAGAAGAACAAGCGCACCGGGAGCGACCAATCGAACTGCCCCCAACATCCGAAGACTGGGAATCAACACCGACCAGAACTGCCCCGTATACGATGCTTGGCAACAAATGCCCTGTGATACAACCCTTTTGACACCGAACTCAACCGAGGGAACTACGACCAATGGCGGTAAGGTCGATGGTGAAGACTTTACCTGTATGCTCCAGCTATCGCTCTCGGAGGCTTACCCGGACTTGGGGCATGATGGCTCGTTGGACTTACTCGATCTACCATTGCCGGGTGAAGACGAGCTTATGGAGCTCCTGGAAACGACGCCATCTGATTGTAATTCCGGTGGTGGATTCAACTTTGACTTTACGACTTCGAACACAGAGCAGTTTCCGCAGTCGCCAACCGCTGCACCGTCATTGCCGAATGATAGCCAGCCTCGCACCAGGCCGGAAACGACAAGCCCTCCAGACTATAATACGGTAAGTGAGATTGGGCACGCTTACTAGAAGAACGTTAATGACTCGGACACCGCACAGTTATTTAACTTTGACGAAGCAACGGATGTTCCGCCGCCTGCTTTCAACCCGAAAGAGAAACTACCGATTTCGAATAATGGTACAGTCCACGTCGACTTTTCTGCCGCAAATGTCTATGGCCTCCCTGAGTTCATCTCTCAGGGAGTTAGAGATAGCCCAAGACATGAGACGATCAAGATTGTGAACGGTCTACGGCGAGCTCTGTGCGAGAGTACAGTGGCGTCTGGCGAAGATGGACCACTTGACAGGACGAAAAAGTTTCCTGGAACCGACAGTACTCTTTCAAGATACTGCGACGGTAAGCATTGTTCCACTATTGACCCAACCAAGTCGAGGTAGCTGACATTCTCCACTCAGCATGCTTTGAAGATTGTTGCCCGTAAGTGATTGATATGACACGGGGAAGACGAGCAGAATCCCACGAAACTGACATCATCTTCACACGAATAGTATTGGTGACTTTATGACGAAATCTGCAGTCGAGAGTATCATCAGGCAGTCCAGAGAACCTGAGCCCGACAGATTAGTTTTAGTTTTTGCTGAAGCCATCGTAGCCGTGGGCTTTCACACAGCTTGCCTACGAGATCGGCAAACCCGAAGCGTTGGAGAGTCCCACGAAGCACAGAAGCGCCTTGCATCAGCCTTGTGGCGCTACAAAGACATCCAAAACTGCCCGAGCACGCTACTGAAATTTCAGGTCACTCTGATCATGGTAATTATGATCCGAATTGCGACATATTCGTCATAAATATGGCTGTAGACCCTAACTTGAAGAGCAGGCAGTGATTGCATACGTATGCGAAGAGTCCTTGATTTGGGAGAAAATCACTGCGGCAGTATGTTGTGCGCGTGACCTTCGTCTCGTTCACGCGGCAAGAGGTCAGCAAACCAGCATGAGCGATCAAGATCAAGAGCTGGCTCAACGGGGAGTTTGGTTTCTCTACAGCCTCGAGACAGACTACGCTATCCATCATGGGATGCTCCCAGTGAGTCCACCAATTGGGTCATTTCGGTCAAGGCAACTAACGGCTAGTTAGATACTAGATCTGGGTTGGGGGATCCAGTTTCCGTCGTTCGACAAAGGAGACGACATGATTGCCGTGTCATACACCTTCTCCGAGCTTCTACACTCGGTACTCAAATTTCAGTATAGTCCGAGAGCTCTGAACAAGTCTGCATCGGCATATGATCGTCGCGATCGGCTGCAGGCCAGCTGCCATGTCCTCAATGAATGGCTTAGTGGCCTGCCGACACCTCTCAATGAGGCGAACGATGCCGGGGTTCTCCAAAGTGTAAAGGACGACCGGCAGCTACGGAAGGCATTCCGTGTCTTCTGCATGTATCATCGGGCTGTGTTTTTTATCCATTGCCCATGGATAACACCCATCGCCACAGATGACGCGGATGTGTACGGTGTTGCCGGGCAGACCAGGGAGAGGTGTGTTGAGCGCTGTGTCGAGTCGGCATTTGCAGTTGTTAAGCTCGCAAACAGTGGACTGTTTTGGGAAAAGGGACTTGAAAGGTACGTTGTGCGACCGTGAATTGAGATATAGTTGTTGACGTTGCATGTGTAAAGGGACATAGGATCGTCAAGCATGAAATGGGGCAATATGGGACAGCTTCTCCTAGTATCACTTTGCTTCATTGTTTACTACCTCATTAACGGTGAGAAGGCGAATCGCAAGACAGCAATGCCTTACTTGGCCATTTGTGGAGGCTTGTTTGGAAGATTGAGCCTGGATAGTGATGAGGGTTCTTTGATGGATCATTACCTAGAGCTCATTCAAGTAGTGCGGGCAAGTTGACATATTTCGAAGGACTCATAGCGAGAGCAAGGAAGACTTCAGACCCATGACGTCTTCCAGAATAGCGCCTTAACCGAAAATGACAAATCTTCAGGCTGGAAATACGTACATATTCAAGTGTAAATGAAGGTTCAGGAGCGGCCCGCTCAGCTAACCGATTGGTAACCTGTGGGCTGTCAAGACAATCTTGGCTCTTGGCACGAACTAGATACCCAGCTGTAGGAAAGGGAACATCGGCAGGGCCTAGCGGCAAATAAGTGTCCTGGTCAGTTGTATTTTACCCGCTTGGGAATGGCATTTGCCTGAATACGGGGAATATGATCACGAATTGACGCCGGCGGGCGGAAATCAAACAAAGTTCATTGATGGCTATGTTTCGCAACATGAGTTGATATAGACTTTCAAGTTACCAAAGTATGATTGCCGTCGCTGTGGAGCCGGCGGGTCGGGTAATCCTTGTAACTCTTCATCGAAGCTCCATTCTAACTAGAACTGTTCGGGCCATTGTGGATACTAAAGTAGATATCAGGGATAGATAATATGGATGGCAGGGCCTCTGTCTTAGAAGTTCACCTCCTCCTTTCTCCGCCTGACAAGGACCTTGGTGGTGGGGTTTGCAAGCATGGAAAACCCAAACTCTAGAGGACTGATATTTGTGTTTTCCGCCAGCTTGATATCGTACTTGAGCAAGAGGTGGCACATGACCAGCTTCACAGTATTGGCGCCGAAGAAGCGGCCAGGACAGGCGTGAATGCCGAGGCCGAAACCTAGATGTTCGGGCGAAGTGCTGACTAGCTGGGACGTCTTTTCGCCTTGCTCAGAAGCTTCCCGCAGTCTCAAAAAACGGTATCCATCATAGGCTCGCGGGTTCTTATAGATCTCCGGGTCCCACATCTTTTCCGCATTAATAGCGATGCCAGAATCTTGGGGAAGAACTGTGCCATCCTTGAGGCGGACATCTTCCATGACTCTGCGGCCTAGACCCACTGTAAAGCACGTTAGTTGAGCCTGCCAAAAGTGGCAAAAAGTGCCTGAGTGATGTACAGTAGAATAGTTGATAAAAGAATGGAACAAACGCACCAGCTGCAACGGGCTTAAGGCGCAGAGTTTCCTTGAGAACACTGTCGAGAAGCTTCGTGTTGTAAAGACTCGTAGGTTTCCATTGCCCGTCCCCGAGAACAGACCGGATTTCGTTCCTGAGTGGCTCGAACATCTCTGGGTTCTTGCAAAGATCCATGATGCTCTGGGACATAAGATCGTTACTGGTCAGAATTGCAGAGATGCTGAGGGCCAGCTGCTGATCGGCAGGATCATACTCAACGCCCATTCTTTTCGCTGCCGTCTCATACCAGTCCAGAGCGTCATGATACTCGAGGCTTGGATCTGCTGCCTTCTCTACACGGCGCTTCTCTAGAATAGGCGCGATGATTTGCCGCGCTTCAATTAGCATCGTACGAACTTCTCGGCATTCTGTAAGAAACCAATGAATAGTGCGATAGAGAATCACTGGCCAACGCCTTAAGACTTTGGCAGCATTTGTTGCTTTGTTGGTGTAATTCACTGTGATTTTCAGCCAGTCGGGATTTCGGCACAGCTCTGGGCCAAGAAAAATGACGGAGGACACCCGGGCAACAATTCGAATGATTACGTCGCCAAGAAGAACCTCATGCCATTCTGAAGAGAGGGTAGGGGCTGTCAGAATTCGATGCTGTCGTGCGGGGTTTGTGTTAATGACTGACCTTCGTTATCGGTCAAGATATCACTAAGAGCAGCGTTTGCCTCATCAGACAATGGCTTGTTCAGCTTGGCTAGAATCATGTCTAGATCAGTAAACGAAAATTGACTATCACCGAGTTCCCAAGACGACATACCAATACCAGCAGGCGTGAGATTCCATTTGATGACATTGTGTAGTATCTCAGTTCCAAGAGCAATGTAAGGCTCGAACCCAGGGATGCCAGCTTGCCAGTACTACAAGAACAGCGCAAAAGTCAATAACCGAGCTCTAATAACAAATTTCATTTAGAGCTTGCCATACCTGGAGCAGAAACTTCGTTGAGTCAAAACGGGCATCATTTCGAACCTCTGGCATGACGCTGTGGTCGAGAATAATGACACCACCGCCAAGACCGGTATTGACTCTGAAAGGCTTCCCACCAAATTCTTCCAAACCCCGGGCCAACATCGCCCTTCCACTCATGAGATACTCATTTTTCGAGGCATTAATCACCGGGAATGCAGACAACTTATTCTTACGCAGCGAAACGGTCATCACTGAGGCTATCAATATGATAGCCATCAGAAAGGGCACATAGCCGCTGGTCTCCATCGAGCTTGGAAGCCCGAAGTTGGTTAAGTCGACCCATGATGGCCGGGGAGGACTAAGTGTGGTTTGTGTGTTGGTGTTGAGGTAACTGGCCATCGTTGATTGATTGAAGAGCCACTTTCTCACTGTGAAGCTCTAAGAGGCATACGTGGGTGATTGGTTTCAGACTTTGTTAAACTAGCGTGAGCTCTACGCGGGTGGGACGATGAGGACCTAACGACCCCTTCAGCATTCAGCTCACCACATACTTCCACCCATGGCGATTCGCATCTTGGGAACCCAACGCGCTACCTTTCGTGTTCGGCTCCGAGCTACCGGCGCCTTGCCGTCCCTCCGTTTCCCACCGGATCGAGAGGTAAAGTTGACTGGGGTAGTTCGGTCCGAGCGGGCGGAGCCGGGTGTAGCGAGAGGGAGTTCGCGAGTCAACGCACGGTGCTGACAGCCCAGGGATAGCGTCGCGCCGATGTCCCGTTTAGGGTTTCATAAAGCAGTTTCCGAAACCTTGTGCCACTTGATGCCACCAACCCCTTTGTTCCAGACTTTCCGGGGTTGTTTCCATCTGCCTTTTCGGAGCAGGAAGAACAAGGAACCCTTTGAGTTACGGTAAGCAACTCTGTGGGAAAAGCCTTCTGGCTAGACGTTGCGAGGCAGGTGAAATGTTTCTACGAACCACAATCTGCTATTCTCACTCAGGCTTCGCGAGATGGACAAAGGCCTGAGTCACTCATTCTTGGACCGGCACAGGCCGTCGATGCTGGTGCTGGCATCCCAACTCTCTGCCGCGGCACTAAACGGCTTTGCCAAGTTTTTCGAGACGGGCGAAGACCCAGTACACCCATTCCAAGTTCTATTCGTCCGGTTCCTTATCACGGGTACGGCATGCACCGTCTACCTCTGGTTCACGAAAGCTCCAAATTTCCCGTTAGGATCACCAGAATTGAGATGGCTACTAGCTCTGAGGGCAGCGGCCGGTGTTTTTGGAGCCTTTGGTTTCTATTGTAAGATGAATATCGCGTCGTGACATGAGGTTTTGGTGAATTGACCTTGTTAACACGTTATCTACTAGTTTCTATCATGCACCTTAAGCTTAGTGAAGCAACGGCCTTGAATTTCCTTGGGCCGCTCACTGCCATGATCTTGATTCGGTACCTAGATTATGGAACCTTCGAGGTTATTGATCGGATCGGGGCCTTTGTCGCGCTGGTTGGTGTGATCCTCGTCGTCCAGCCAGACGCGCTATTTGGCTCTAATCCAACACTTGCAACCGCTGCTCAGTCAATTACCGATGGGACCCCGAAAGGCAGAATGATGGGTTTCGGATTCGGGTTGATTAGTGTGTGTGGTGGAGCGGTAAGTCAACGATGAGTCACTGGTGACAACCTTTACTGAATATATCTAAAGGTGGCGCTTACGGCGATTCGCTCCATCGGTACACGCGAGCACCCTCTGATGAGTATCATGTACTTTGCTTGGACGATTGTCATTGTATCTACTGTGGCATTCCTTCTCATAGACAGCGTTCATCTCACAACAACAGTTCTGTCGTGGATAAAGTTGATACCCCTTGGCATCTTCGGCTTTGTAATGGTTAGTATTCGTCCTGTCCAGTATACTGTTCCACGTCCTCGACTAACACCACATGCTCTTCTAGGAATTTCTTCTCACTGCAGGAATAGCCAACGATGTCTCATCAGCTGCTACGATCATGATTTATTCTCAGGTCGGATGGGCGTTACTACTGGATTGGATTGTATTCCAGTCTCAAGTTAATCTCTTGACGCTGATTGGCATAGGCGGTGTTGTAACTAGCTTGGTCGTTGTTTCTTCAGCCAAGGAGTGGAAATGGCTACGGAAAGGTCGATATGAAGTGGTGGAACAAGATTCCCTTAATGAAAGAGAGCCAGACGAAGAGAGAGTAGAGATGAGACTAAACAGCTCAGTGGCATGATGCATACTTGTAGACTTCAGGAATAGCGATTTAGAAGAATTATACATATTATATATCAGGATGCGGGCTCACCTTGGTGCAAGTAAACTAGCAACTTGTGTGAGATACTGAGCCCTTTACAAACGTGAAGGTGACAGCTTCTACCTTTGATGAGATTCGGGCTGCGGACATGATAGAAAGCCTTAGTAAAGTGGAAAGATTGTACTTTCACAGCCATTGCAAATTTCTAATTGAAAACAAGACAAACATTCTCTGAAATTTCTTATGACCTATGCCACTAGCCTGATGAAAATAAAAACGTTGCTACCCTTGAGAATCGCACAGTTACACAGAGTTCAGATGACAATTTAAGCTAATCACACGGATGCAATGACTTCTTCGATGATCTTCTCAGCGAGATGGATCAGAGAAGTACACTGAGTGACTTCCATAGAGGTTAAACCAATGTGGAACTGTTGATGAATCCAGTCCACCAACTCAATCGAAATGATGGAGTCCAAACCAATCGAGGTCAAATTCTCAGTAAGGGGAAAATCCTCAATTGGCCTCAGCATAAGATGACTGAGAGTGGCACTGATGAAGCGAGCGAGGCTGGCGGCTGTCGCGCTGTCTCGGAGAGTAGCGGGATCGGATCTGGCGAGCGAGATGAATGTCTCGGCCTCATCATTCTCCTTGGTCTCCCCAGAGCCTGCGGCGTTCATTTTGTGGAAATAGTGAGACTGAGCGAAACGAACATCTCTCTTCCAGTTGACACGATTAGATGGATCAGAAAGAGGCTTCTCAGAGAGACCTCCAAGACAGAAGCTGCTGAACGGCCCTCCAGAGGAGTTGGCCACAGCAATGGACGCAGAGTCGAGAACATCCTGCTCCTTCAAAAAGAAGAAGCCACCGTTCTTAAAGCCCTCGTAGAGATCATCCCGCTCGAGAAGGTATCCGACGTCACCAACCACCCCAAGGTCGATAATGGAGGCAGGAAGACCGAGGTGATGGCGATACTCAACAAAAGCATCGAGGTAGGTGTTTGCCGCACTGTAGTTGGCTTGGCCATAGTAACCTGTGTGCCCACCACCAGAGCCGAATATGACGAAGAAGTCCAACGGAACATTCGCGTCTAGAAGTGCTTCATGGACGTTCCAAGTCCCACGGACCCTAGGATCAACCACTCCACTCCACTCCTCCCAAGTCATCTCAGCAGTAGAATTATCCTTGAGCACGAGGGACAGTTGCATCACACCAGCGAGGGGCTCGGGAGCTTCGTTGATTGCCTTGAGTACGTCACCGGGATTGCTAACGTCTCCGGAGATCGTCTTGATGACGGATCCAGGATAGCTTTCGAGCTCCTTCACGAAAGGCTCATTATCGGCACTTCCAGCGGATCTCGACAGGAACACAAGGTTACGGGCTCCATGCTCGAGCAACCAAGTGGCCACAGATCGACCAAGGCCGCCGAAACCGCCAATGAGAAGGTATGAGGCATCGTTCCGGAATATGGAAGCTTCCTTAGTTGATGGAATAGCCTGACTGACTTCGGGCTCAGAGAAGCCGAACCAGGACATGCGAGGTATTTGAACCTTGCCATCCACAATGGCGTAATCGAAGTCCGCGTCCAACTCTCCGCCTTTGCGACGGTTTGGTAGACTCTGTACAATATTCAATAGAGCTTTGGACATACCGTTGCTAGATATTGAGATGTCATCGACCTCGACAAGAGTAATGTCTGCCTTGTTCTCCATGCGAACGGTTCTAGCAGTGCCCTGAATCATGGCTGGCTTGGCATCCTTGCAAGCGCCATGAACGGCGGGGATGACCCAAATGAGTGAATCACTCAAGTTGCATAGGCTGTCGATGAACGGCCGGAAAGTCTCAGAGCTAAGGTCGTAGATTGTGTTTCCAGTAAGATCCAGAAGTGAGATGACCACAGACCCGTCAGAAGGAACTGTGTTCTGGTGGGAGACTCGTGTAGTAAACCCCTTAGACTCACATTGAGACCTGACGCCACTAGCAAGCTCAAGTCCTTCCTTCGAATTGTGTGCTAGAATGGTGATAATTGTGCTCTTGTCCATCTCGGTAACCTTCATTGGCTCCGCGAGTATCAAGCCAGTCGGTGTCTGTGAATGAAAGACGAAGCCAAGGCATTTCAGTCTCTGGCTAATCTTTTCACAATCAGAAGCACCACCGGTTGCAATACCGTCATCGTGAACGATCAGTCGGCTTCCAGCAGTCTGAAGTGACTTCAATTCCGTCAAATCATCAAGTAGGTGGCGATCATCCGACAACAAGGTCGAAATCGACAAGAGGATAATGTCAGTCGTGTTGCACATGCAAAGCTGCTCGAGATCAACGACCGAGACGCTTTCGCGATCCAGACTTGCAACTGCCTCGGTGACTTGGTCAACCTGTTCCCCAGAGGTGCATACATAGGTGTACTCAGAGTAAAGGCGCTTATGTTGGGTAGGCTGCAGAGCATCTAGAGCAAGTCGAGTAATGTCGGTTGATCCTGATCCAATCTCCAATACTTTCGAGTCAGGAGACTTGAAGCCGAGGAGAGAAATTACTTCGGTAGCGTCCTTGACAAGATCCCAGTTGGCAGTCCCGACTTCTGCAAGGGAGTCCAGCATAGTGATATCGTCTCTCCATTCAAAGGTGCTTCCGAGGAGAACTTCTTCACGCTTGGCGACAGGTAGCTCAGAGTAAGAGAGACCTTCCAGATACACCGTAGGACGACCTTCATCTGTGTAGATGGCAGCGTTTGCGGTCATGCCTTTAGCATCTTCCTGGATACTGCCGTAAGCTCTCATACATAAGTCCTGGTTCCCGAGGACACCCAGTCGCGAGATGAAGGTGGGAAGCAGGATGCTGTCTAGACGCCGCTTCTGGCCATGTGTTTGCGCCACGAGGTTAATCTGAAGCATTTGATCCAAAAGTGTCGGATGAGCAGCGTAGTGCGTCGTGTCTTCAAAGTCATAAACTGTCGCTGTGGCCTCCCTCTTGACTGTGTTCGCGGTGATCTGCTCAAGGCCTTGGAAAGCGGTCTGCCAGTCGATGCCAACGGCCTTGACAGCTTTGTACCAGCCTTCAGCGTCGATCTCGCGAGCAAATTCTTGCTCAGCCTGAGCGCTTGCGATTGAGGTCTTCTCTGCCTCAGCTCCTGAGCGGATGTGACCAGAGCAGTGCGTGACCCATGCGTGTCCATCGTAGGACATGATTTTGAAGTTGTACCATTGGCCTTCGTCACTAAGCTTGTCTTCCGGAATCATGCGCGTGTATAGTTCCATCTTCTTCTCCTTGGGGATTGTCATGCCGGTGATGATTGACATATCCCTAATGGTGTACGCATCTGAGCCGTTGGCTACCTGACGCATCGCCTCTCCAGCCATGGCCATGTAGCCGGCTCCAGGGAATACGATCTGACCGTTGACGATGTGGTCCATCAACCAAGGAACTTCCTTGAGATCAAGCATGTTTCGCCAGGCAGGCTCAATATCATTGCCCTCAAGAACCCTAGCGCCGAGAATCACATGTCTGGTATGCTTTCTTTGCTTGTAACGGGAAGGATTGCGAGGTTCATCCATATAGGTTACATCGTGTAGCCAAGGGTAGGTCGGCAGATCGGTCAAAACTCTGCCCTTGGGGATGATGGTGGCCATGTCGGCCGGGGCTCCTTGTACGAAGAGCTCACCAGCCAGACGGAGCATGGATAGGTTGGTATCTTCAGCACGGCGGAGGGTAGTGATGTACTCGCAGGAAGAGTCAGGCACGCTCCGAAGGATCTCACTGATGGGACGTTGGAGAGCCGGATGGGGGCCGACCTCCACGAAGAGATTGTTGTTATTGCTCTTCAAGATCGCTCTCATCGCCGTATTGAATAGCACAGGGTGGACGAAGTTTCGGCGCCAGTAGTTGGCTCCAAAGTCAGCTTCGGTCATCTCAAGACCAGTGACGCTCGAGAAGTGAGGCACGGTCGGAGCCTTAGCATTGACAAGGTATGGCTTCAGGAGCTCCTCGTATGGCCCAGCCAAAGGCTCGATCCAGGGAGAGTGGAAAGATGTCTCCAAGTTCAAAACCTTAGCCTTGACATCAGGATGGCGACGCATGATCTGGTCAATGCAGTGTTGGATGCAGACGGGATCGCCTGACAAGGTGGAGTTGAGATGACTGTTCTCACAGCCAATGACGACACCTGGAATCAAGAAGGGCTCAACCTCCTTTGGGCCAAGACTGACAGCAGCCATAGTACCAGGCGGGACAGTGCCGTTGACCAAGAGCCAGCCGCGGAAGTAGGCAACAGCCATGGCGGCTTCGGCGGTGACACTACCGGCAGCGTACGCAGCAGCAGCCTCTCCTCCAGAGTGGCCAGTAACAGCATCAGGACGAACGCCAAGGCTAGCGAGAACATCGACCAACGCGATCTGAACAGCAGTTGCGCATGGGTGAGAGTATCCCCGCTGGCCAACCCTGCTAGAGTCATCGTCGATAGACAGCTCCTTCTCCAAGGACCAGGTTGGCCTGTGTTCTTCGGGAAGCGACTGGAGCCATACGTCCAGCTTCTTGATGGAGTCTCGGAACACCTCGTTGGTTTCGATCAGTGACTTGCCCATCCCGGCCCAGTGCACACCCTGTCCAGTAAAGGTCAGAATGAGTCGCCGGGAGGTGGTTGGCTTGCGCTTGAAGCTGCTCAGGTCAAAGACACCCTCCTCGTTGGCAATAGCATAGGCTCTGCAGCTGAGGTGATCGCGATGATGACCCAGAGTGTAAGCAAGATCATCAAGATCAGCGCTCTTAGTCTCAATGTAGTGCTTGTGTTGGTCCACTTGCTTTTCGAGAGAAGTCAAGTGCGCAGCGGAGAACAACAAGAGTCGCTGTCCAGGAGAGCGAACGCTGACGCCTGAGTCTGAGCTGATAGAGCTAGCATCATCTTGCAGCTTTTGCCAACCATCATAAGACTCAAGAATGACCTTCAAATTATTAGCGGGGAGCTTTCGTCAGGATAAGGGCAGAGTTCTTACGTGAGCATTGGAGCCAGCCACACCAAAGGAATTGACACTGATGCGCTCATCTCTGTCTGCAGGCCAGAAAGTTGGCTCCGTCGGGACCGAAAGCTTGGCCTCATCCCATGGAACTGTGCTGATGTTAGTATCTGACAATCAGGTTACTTACGATGAACTCACTCCTTGGATTGGGGTTTTCCATGTAGATGTTCGGCGGAATAACTCGATTTTCCAATGCGAGGACTGCCTTAATGACACTTGTCAGGCCTGCCGCACCTTCTGAGTGACCGACATTAGGTTTAACCTGAGTACTCATGTTAGAAAACCTCAACCTTGCATTGAAAACATGGTGAACTTACAGCGCCAATCATCACGCCATCATGATCCTTCCAGATTCGAGCAACTGCCGCCACCTCAAGTGGATCGCCAGTCGGAGTACCAGTGCCATGGCACTCGAAGAAGGCCGTCTTATTGAACGGAAGACCAGCCTTCTCGTAGGTCTTTCGAATCAAGGCCTCCTGCAGGTAAGTGTTTGGGCTCATGATGCCGTTAGACCGACCATCGTTGTTGGTGCCCGCTTAATCTCTTGACATAGACAGCGTTGACAGCTTCACCGCGGCCGTAGCCATCGGCAAGCAGATCAAAGGTTTTGCATTTGCCGCTTGGAGACAAGACACCGGTTTCTGTGAAGACAATGGATGTGATGACTGATGTGATGAGGTTGCATCCCAGAGCCATTGCCGACTTGCATGTACCATTTTGAACAGCTTCAGCAGCCAGATGTAAAGCAACCATGGATGAAGAGCATCCAGTCTTGACAAGCATACTTGAAGGATGTTAGTCACTGCGAATCGTCACTCACATAGGGTGCGCTACTTACCTCGGGCCAGTCCAGCCGTACTCATATGATACACGGTTAGGCTGTAAGAAGTCGAGGTAGCCAGATCCTCGGTATAGTCCAGAAGCGTGCGGGTCCATTGACAAGTCATCTTGCCAATCTGACGAGAAGTTGCCAACATAACAGCCGATCTCTTGGCCGCGCCAGTTGACCTCGCCGGCATTGTCAAGACATTCTCGCGCAATCTCCAGCAATTGCCTTTGCATGGGGTCCATGCGCTCGATTTCCTTCTCACCACATGTGAAGTAAGAGGCGTCAAATTTGGTAAGGTCATTATCGGCTTGGGTGAACATGTATGCCTCCTTGTTCTGAACCGTTCCCCACTTTGCAACGGGACTGTAGAAGCCTTCGCTATTCCATCTCTCTTTAGGGATGGGGATCAGACCGCTTTGCTTATTCATCATCAGGTTCCAGAAGTCTTCCGTGTTCTTCACGCCACCGGGAAGCCTCACGGCCATTCCCACGATGGCGATGGGGTCGGAGGTGCCCATCTCGGATGAAGGCGTGGCGGCGCCCGACTTTGATGACATTGTCTAAAGCGTGGTACAAAAGATGGTAAAAGCCCGCAAACGCCTGCTGAGTGAGAGTCAAATGCCAGCCTAGCAAAGGATATCGTGTAGTTTTGGCTGTGTATTATGGTTTGGGTTAAAGGGCCAACAAGATTACTTCGACACTAATGTAGAGCTTCTTAACAAGAGATGAACAATGTTGCAACGGAGTTGATCTCGGTATTCCAGAAGACATCCCCTATGTTGGCAGAATAGGTGAGTCCGAGTTTTGCGAAAGTCTATTGCTCGAATTCCGAGAGCCATATTTTTTCCGTCTAGTGTGATTGGCTGCGAGAATCGACTTGCGAACACCTCATGATGACCCGGTCCCTGCACAGCTTGCGGTCCGAGATGTGTCACAACATGAAGTTCAACACTCCGAAAGACACCAGCCAATGGACCAGGCAAGTAACTTGGATGGACGAAATCTAATTTCACATCAGGAGTGCCCGTGGTGTCATGTAACGGTCGCGTCAACAAAGAGATTCTACTGAACGACTTGAGAGATATTCCGTCTACAGCTCTACTACAGCACTGCTGCGGCTGGCGATTGGCATCACACATCAGCTTGGTTCTTATACAATTATGGCTTCTACTCTCCCCAACACTATGAAGGCTGTCATCATTGAAGGTCGCGGTAAAGCGGCAATAGCCACATCGCCCATTCCTAAGTTACGTGATGGATATATCCTCGTGAAAACGACTGCCGTCGCTATCAATCCTTCTGACTGGAAGCACATTGACTTCATGTGGGTGGGTAACCCCACTGGTACGCGACCAGGTCTCGAGTACTCGGGCGTTGTTCTCGAGGTCGGCAATGGAGTGGATAAGCACTTCAAAGTTGGCGACAGAGTCTTCGGGATTGTGAATGGCTCGTAAGTGACACGATCTCTCCAGACTACAGAATGACTCTAATCATATTTGCACAGAAATGTGAGACAGAAGGAAGATGGGGCCTTTGCAGAGTATCTCATCGCAAAGGCGAGCCTACAGATGAAGATACCTGACCATGTTGATGACACTGAGGCGGCGGCAATCACGTCTGGCCTAGTAGCGGTGGTTGGTGCTTCATTCACACTTGCTCCTAACAGATCATCGCTAAAAATCAGATCTAGGGTCAAGGACTCTACCAGTCTCTGGCACTTCCACTTCCCACTAAGCCGTCACCAGAGCCGATTCCCCTTCTGATTTACGGCGGAAGCACGGCGTCAGGAATCATGGGCATTCAGTTCGCCAAAATGTCCAATTGCACGGTCATCGTAACCTGTTCGCCCAAGAACTTCGACTACATGAAGGCCTTGGGAGCTGATTTCTGCGTTGACTACAAAGCAGAGGACTGTTCAGAGCAAGTCAAGGCTTTCACAAAGGGAAGATTGAGGCACGCTTGGGATTGCATTGCGACAGCCCAGTCTGCACGGATATGCGCCGCGGCGATGTCGATAAGAGGCGGGCACTACAGCAGCCTCTTGTACTTGGTTCCCTCCATTGTCAAGAAGATCAATCCAAAGATCGAGTGCTCTACAACCTTGGGTTACACGATTCTAGGAGAGACGATAGAGAAGGAGACGGTCATTGAACCTAGACTTGACGACTACGAGTTTGGGAAGATGTTCTGGGATGTGAGTGAGAAGCTACTGCAGGAGGACAAGTTTCGGCCTGCCAGGCAAATTGTAAATGAAGGCGGCGATGGCTTGGAAGGTGTTCTTCATGGCATACAGTACCTGAAGCAAGGGAACGTGAGTGCTGCAAAGCTCGTCTACACGATTGCTTCATAAGGTAGATACACGTAGCTTCAATTTCAGACTTCGTTATGGCCAATCATGTAATATCATGAGAAAGATGCATCGATCTTAGAAGGCAAGTTTCCGACACGGAGTATCCCAAGTCTGGACATTTTGGTGGCCTTCCATTGTCCGCACTGGGTTCAACAGGTAGGTCTCTGAGGCATGAGCTGCGCGAGAGTTAGTGGTCGAACAGGGCGGCGATGGATGACTCGCGCATTAAACCACCTGAAGTAACTTTCACTGAGTCCTAGCACAGGCCTGCCAAAATCCGACCCCGTGCGGTCCGTCAACTCAGCAACGATGAAGCCACTCACATATCATTGTTGCTCCGGATTCGGGAGTCTCTAAGGAGTAGGGCAAGGCTTAAATAATCCGGAATGAAGAAGCGAGCCTGAAATGTATGGGAGATTCAAGACAGCAGCCCCGAGCGACTCGCATCTTGATGGTGAGCCTAATCCAGGCCTCGACACAGAGTCATGGTGCAACAGGCCGTGACTTTGTCCCCCTCCGATTAGATGAAGGCGTCAACAACAGAGTAGAAAGCATACATTTCAGTATCAATAGTGTTCATGTTCAAATGAATCAAACAAACATCCTCTTAATCTCGTAAGGTATTTCATTGAATGAAGGAAATCAGCGGGAATAAGTCTCAAGATAGCGACATGGGAGGGTTAATACCGGAAAACTACGACGCACGGATTAGCTACAGTTGTACTAACTCATTAATGCCATACTTGATCAAAATCCGTCACTATGTTACTCGATATTGAAACAGAACCGTACTAATGTAGATTGCGCGAAATGTATTTCACTAATGCGTTGGTTTAGTGATGAAATTGCGACTCGGTCATCGCTGTCCGAGGCATATAGAAGGGGTTCCGCGCGATTAAGTGACCTCCGTGCCGGACCGATGGTCCCCCCCTCTCCACATGAGCGACGGATTGACAGCTCCGGTACTGTAGAATCGTCGGGCTTATGGTTAAAGCACTCATGTACTACGTGTAGTTGCCCCAGTTGTGACATCAAGGACGCCACAGTATAATCTGCCGCATCAAAGACGTAGTCATATTTCAGAGTCAACCAGCATCAGATGGCAGAATGGCGGCCGTGGAAGCCTTCAACGAAACGAGAGACAGTACGGACAGGATTGTCACCGATTGTGGATTTGCGGGCTACTATGAAAACGTCCACTCACGACAGAAATTGCTCATCGTTCAGCTGATCATGAAATCGTTCCAAAAATTGCGATGCGATATTGCGCGTACAAAACCGGGCCAGAAGCTGAGACCGATCAAATGCACCGCCAACCTACGGAAACAGCTCGACTTCTGCTATGAAATGCTTTCAGATGCAGGACTTGTGCGCCAAGAAGGAGATTCGTTCATCAGGACAGACAAACCCACACCACCTGGAAATCCAAAAGATGCTCTTCAACATATTCTCAACGACTTTCCGACATACACATCTCTGAACAAGCTTGTGGCTCACGCGGGTAACAACCTCGCCGAAATTTATGTGGGACGTACCGATGGCGTCCGATCGATTTTCGGGTCCCCAGAAGGGCGCGAGTATCTGGAAGATATCTATGGCGCAGCGCATCCGAGCAAGGCCTTTCACAAGCTCATGGAAGACTTCATGACCCGCTTCACAGAGACCGTCGCCATCCCTCACGGTTCTCAACTCAAGATCCTGGAGCTTGGCGCTGGAACAGGGGGCACAGCCAAATGGCTTGCCCCGTTGCTCGCTAAATCGGGAGTCCCTGTCGAGTACACCTTCACCGATCTGGCACACGGCTTCATTGCTCAGGCTGCGCGGAAGTTCCAAGACTACCCCTTTATGAACTATCGAACACAGGACATCGAGAAGCCACCACCTGTAGATCTCGCGCACACCCAGGACATAGTCATTGCTGTAAACGCAGTTCACGCCACCCCTGACATGGTAAAGTCACTTACCAATACGCGCCAATTCTTACGACCTGGCGGGTTTGCACTGGTGATGGAGGTGCAGGAGCGTTTGTGCTGGGCTGACTTTGTGTTTGGGCTGTTTGAGGGATGGTGGTTGTTCAGCGACGGGAGAAAGCATGCGACGGCTGACGAGACGGTATGGCGGGATGCTTTCAAGGCATCTGGGTTCGATCATATTGATTGGACTAGAGGGAAATTGAGGGATTCCGGCCTGCAGAGAGTTTTCCTGGCGACGGTGGCCGAATAGGGTAGCTCGTGGTTGTAGTTGTTGGTACAGTGCCCGTAACTTCGGTTTCAGTTGCACATGACGAATCTTCCTCTTCATGTATGGTACACCAAATCTGATGAGATCAGATCACGCCACTTGATAGCCGACCTAACCGCGGATACTATTGCTTCGTCCTTGTGATATTGTATAGATACATAGGTGATCAAACCGAATCCTCGGAACTAGATTTCCATATCTGCTAGATAGCATAGCTAAAATCGAGGCGGATCCCCGGTGAAACGTCCGCAATGAGGTTTCGAGGCTACCTGTAACCTAAAGCGAGGCTGGAATGGTAGGCACTCGACTATACGGCTAATTGGCAACTTGTAGGCAGAAATTATCCACGTGGTTTGTTTATCATTCGGTACAGATGTTTCTGTTTAGGAGTTTGGTAACGAGTCTTCTTTTGCCTAACTGCACCTCTGAGGGGATACTTTCCTGCAGGCTGCCCCGAGAACACTCAAAGTCTACTCCAAATGGGGCGCGTAAGCACGTCTTTACAAGACTTACACAGTAGACTTGTAGCAGCGGAAAAAAGGCAACTCTATCTGGGTGGCGGCACGACCCTTGCCGCTGGCTCGTACCAATCTTACGTCTGTTGGCCGAGATGAAGCAAGACGGGGAAAGGACTTCTAAGATGGGCTGAAGTATCGCGAGTCAAGATGTGGGGGGCTTCGTCGCAACTTCGGGTGAGAAGGAAAGTTTCGGGGTACTTTTCCTGTTCCCCGACGATGCTGCACTTGGGATAAGGCTTCAGGGTTCTCGATAGTTCGAACCTACATGGTACCCCAAGTTAGTTGACAATACGCGGGATCTCTAAGTTGAATTCTGAGTAAGTATGTAGCTACGGAACTTTTCCCTACACTTGGCTGGCCAAGAATTCGTACCTATGCGTGCGCTCAGTTGACGCTGAGAACAATTGCTGGCAATATCGCAAAATTCTAGTATGGCTACTGAGAAGCAGGTTGAGATTGGCGCCGAGCGGCAGGATGAGGATGGTGACATCGTTGTGGACTGGAATGGGGAAGACGACGAGAGTAAGCCCCTGAACTGGTCAACTACTCGAAAGTGCATCAACGTTGGACTTGTCAGCGCCTTAACTTTCATTGCGTAAGTCATCCTGCGTCCCAATACGACACGAGAGCGAAGCTGGAATAGCTGACTGACTACGAATGATGTGGCTCTATAGGTCCATCGCCTCCGCCATGTGTGCACCTGGAGTCCCAGACATGATGGCGGAATTCCATAGCGAGAGCAAAGTCCTCTCATCCTTCATCGTCTCTATTTTTGTCTTAGGATATGCAATTGGTCCAATGTAAGTTCTGTTCGCCTCAAGGTAATGAAGCCTCAAGTAATAATCAACTTATGCTCGTCAGCTTCTTTGCTCCTTTATCCGAGCTGTATGGGAGACTGCCCATTTACCACAGCTCAAACATCCTCTTCACTCTGTTCAGCATTTTGAGCGCTGTATCACCAAACCTGCCGGCCATCATTATCTTCCGTTTCCTCTCTGGCGCCTCGGGTGCAGCCCCCCTAGCCATCGGCGGTGGCACTATAGCTGATCTCATCCGACCCGAGCGACGAGGCTTGGTGGTGAGCGTCTACTTCGTTGGTCCCATCCTTGGACCAGCACTGGGACCGGTCGCGGCCGGCTATATTTCACAGGATCTAGGCTGGCGATGGATTTTTTGGGTCACTGCAATCCCTGTGAGTGCTTGTCGGGTACCGTGGTCTGATTCCCATTGCTGATCAAGAGCCACAGTCCGGTGCCTTCACGTTGATTTGCTTCTTCTGTCTGCGGGAGACATATCCTCCAAGACTGCTGCACCAGCGTGCAGTGGCTTTACGGAAAGCTCATCCCGAAAGCACTTTCGTAGCGCCGGGTGAAAAGTCGGCGTTGAGTCCAAGTACGCTCCTTCTCAATGCACTGGTTCGGCCAGTCAAGATGTTTTTCTTGAGCCCAATTGTGCTTGTTCTCTCAACAATACTTGCTTTAGCATACGGGTATATGGTAAGCCCCACGAGGTTTCTACACAATGTGGCGTGAGGCTGATAGCAAGCAGTACATACTATTGACGACATTCACTCCGGTCTTCACCTCGGAGTACGGCTTTTCGTTGGGCACAGTCGGTTTAGTCTACCTTGGCCTGGGCGTAGGTTTCAGCGTGGGAGCAATTTGCAATGCGATCTTCAACGACCGCATGGCCAATCGACGAACTGCACGCAACGATGGACATCGTGAGCCTGAGTTTCGACTGCCTATCATGGCCAGGTCGATCTTGCTTACACCCTTGGGACTATTCTTCTACGGCTGGACCGCGCAATACCACTTGCACTGGATACTCCCAATCATTGGCTCAGCCCTTCTCGGAGCCGGACTAATCCTTATCATGGTGGGTGCTCTAACATCTTCATACATTCCAGATACTAATCAAGCGCCCAGATGCCGCTGCACACATACCTCATCGACGCGTTTACGAAGTACGCTGCTTCTGCGATAGCGGCATCTACCATCTTCCGCTGCATCGTTGGTGCATTTCTGCCACTCGCAGGGGAGTCATTGTTCAATCGGCTAGGGCTCGGCTGGGGAAGTAGTCTTTTAGGATTTGTCTCACTTTTGCTCTGTCCGGTTCCGTGGCTACTTCAAAAATATGGCCAGGCAGCTAGAGAGAGGTTTGCTGTCACATTCTAAATCACTCCATGACACACGTAATTACCTTAATTCACAGACCGATCACCAGGGAGTAGAAGGGCGA